ATAGTGTGTTGAAGGTGGAGAGCCTACACGGATGAGATGGAGGAGAGGGTGTGCCTTACACTCTTCCGAGGCCTTGAACGCGGCAGTGTGTGTATGCTGTGCCGGTGCCGTGGCCCAACGGTTCAGCGCATTCGCTGCACGAGGCCGCTAGGCGAAGAGTGTGGCTTCAGCATCTAGGGTGGAGAGCTCGTGCACGCACGCGTAGCGTGAGAAAGCGGTGTTGACAAAGCCCGCTCCATGGTAGCCGACCACGCTCTCCGCGTCGCGGAAGAGGCGCATCGTGTCGAGCAACCTGTGACGCAGATAAGTCGCAAACTGACACACACATCGTAGGGAGGCCCCCCTTTCGGGGGAGACTGGAGGTGCGTCGCACACGGCGAAACCCGATACTCTGTCAGCTGCCTCTAGCGGAACAGTGCGTCCCCCTTCTCCGACCGCCGAGCAGCGCTATCTATGGCACCGCGGCACCGCTCGTTGCCGTAGTAGACTCGTAGGGCTCCGCCGGCGCCAGTCCCCAAGGATGCGGCGAGGCGGTCGTAGCTCACGGGGACAAAAGCCCGCTTCGGCCGGTCGGGGTTGCGCCGAATCAGCAGCGTGTGCCTCGGCCGTAGATCGCTCCCGAGAGCGCGGTCCACAAAGTAGGGGAGAAGTAGCGGCATCGGGGGTGCCTCGGAGCAGCACCCCCGCTGCTTTAGGTGGACGCTGTACTCGGGAAGGCTGAGGGGCGCGTCGAAGGGCACCTCCTGAATTTGCAGCGTCGGTGCGACCGCCCGCAGAAACGGCTCGATGCAGTCCTAGTGCGCGAGGGAGTGGGTGCGGTGGTAGCTGGCGAGTGCCCGTGCCTCTGTGTCCCCAGGTCGCGTGCGAAGGGGGGGAGAACAGGTCGTGCCGTGTGTGGAGGCGGCCAATACGAGTCGGCAGATGGGCGCCGCAGGGCTTCGTCGCAAGCTAACTCTCAGTCCTGGTGTGCGAGCGCGGTGACACCATCGCTCCCGTTTATGAGCACTGCATGCAGCAGCGGCAGGGCGGGTAGGGTGCAGTCGGATATGCAACGGTGGCATAAAGTGAATGATACACCGGATATGCAACGGTGGCATAAAGTGAATGATACACCGTCGCAACCACTATGAGAAGGGCTAATAGCGACTATTAGGGCGCTATTAGGACACTATTATAGCCTAATAGTGCCCTAATAGTGCGGCTAATAGTGCGGTACCGCGCGACGCGCACTACGCGCGGCGCGGCAAGAGCGATGGCGCCGACTCTCTACGTGCACTGACGGTCGGCCGCCAGAAAACACGCCTGCGTGGATCGCGTCACACCAATCCTCGCTACCCAACGCGGCCAAAGGATATCCACCTCGAGAACCTCGAGAACTACAGTGGGTTGCGGGCATTAAGAAAACAGGATTGCGCGGCACGCCGCCGTTTCTAAGCCTTTCGACAGCCCTCATCCACCCCACGCCGTGGTTTCTTAGCTCCGGCCGCCGGGGCACTCAAGCCAGAGCGCCGGCCCGAAGGATTTTTAGGTAAGAGGTAAGCTGCGGTCCGCGAGGGCGATGCCAGAGTCTGCCGCCGAGTCGGCTCTCTGTCTGGATGACGGGAAGACGCACACACGCCTCCATTCACTCCATCCACTCAGAACACCGCAGACTTGGAAAGTGACAAGTGCGCGCGCCGCAGGCGAAGAGAAATTTTGAGCTGGGCCTCCCGTTCACACTCGTGTCTGGCCTTTTCTCGGGGCCGCGCCTGCGGCGCGCCGTGGTTTCTTAGATTTTTGCGGAAATCGCTCGGCGTGGTTTCTTAATGGTACGTTTTCTTAATGCCCGCAACCCACTGTAGCTGCCGCCGCAGCGAGTGCGGCTGGGCTGCAGGCAAACCTGTAGCAGGCGCTCGGCACGCTGTCCGGAGGCGAGCGCCTGTGGCTCGCGAAAAAAGTCGAGAATAACGTTTCACAAATCCGAATTACATTTCTTAGTAGGTAGGTAGGTAGTAAGGTGAAGAACAGCCAGGCTCTTTTATTTCTTCCACCCTGCCTACACGGGTAAAAAAAAGCGCGGGCTTGAGACAAAAATCGAGATAACTGCTGGCGTGATCACCATGGTCCTGGTTTGGCTGGCTGCTGCGTCTGCCGCGCTCTCTCCACGTCCGGTGCGGCGAACGCGTCTTCTCCGCTCATCAACGCCGACGATGGGAAATGGCGCCGACTACGGCCCCCCGCAGTCTGCAGCCCTAGCAACGCCGACTCCCGACCCCTCGACAGTCGAGGCTCTGCGGGCCCAGACGGAGGGCGCGACGCGCGACTCGGCGGCCCCCGCGGCGCCCATGCCGCTGCCGTCGCAGGTTGCCGCGCCTCGCGGCGGAAACTTTGCGCCGATCCCGCCTCAAGCGGCCGTGGCGCCGGACCCTTCAGCCGTCCCGAACCCTTCGGCCGTGTCGAACCGGATGGGCGGCGACGAGGCGAGTGCGCGGCGGCTGTGGCAGGTGGTTGCGCAGTCGTTCAAGGCGGCGGAGCAGCGGGCTATCCCGAGTGAGGACATCGACAACGTCGGCTCCATCGCAGGAGCAGCCGCCTCTCTCTCCTCGCACTGGTTCTGCCTCTCTCCTTGCTCTCTCCTCGCTGCAGTCTCCCTGCCTCTCCCCTCTCCTAGCTGTCTCCTCTCGTAGCCCGAGTCGCGTCTCCATACTCCACCTTCTTCAGCTTGTGTCTTCGCACCTCGCGCGCTGTGACCAGGCGAGGAGCGGGTCCCATTCTGGGAGCAGCCCGAGGACTACGCAGAGACGCAGCGCAAGGACCGGCGCACCATATTCATGCACGACGACTGGGTGCGGCACCGCTCGAGTGAGCGCTTCCTGCGCAACATGCTCTCCATCCCCTCCAGCGGCATTAACCGCGCGCTGTACAAGGAGCTCGTCGGATCTCGGGCAATCTCGGGCAATCTCGGGCAATCTCGTCACAACCATTGAAGACCCCCCCCCCCCCCTGTATTCACGGCAGTGTATCAACTCTCTCACTCGGATTTGCATCACACACAGCCTCACTGCATGAGCCGCGACGCGCGCTGCCCAAGCAACTCCTGTCTCTCGCGGCTCCCGTCTCGTAGACGTGAAGTCGCGAGGGAGTTTCCGGGCCCTTGCCCCACCGCCCTCGTGTGTGTGGAGAAGCTGACCTCCCCTTCCCTCACCTCAAGGAGCTCGTCTTCGTCACGTCGGTCGCGGCGTTCGTCGTCGCATTCAACTGCCTCTTCGTCAGCTACCAGGTTCCTCACCCCTCACCCTCGCCCCTCACCCTCACCC